GTTTTATGGCCCTTAATGTGACTATTTTTAATTTCATAAGGTTCCTTTGAGCATTGATGTAGTAATGTAATTACAATACATTCAGTTAAATGGATTTAAGCATGGCGACAGTGGCGCTGTAGGTAGTGCTGTCGCCTCACAGCAAGAAGGTCCATGGGTTGCTGGTTCAAACCTTGGCTCAGCTTCTGTGTGGAGTTTGCATGTTCTTCCTGCGCTTGCGTGGGTTTCCTCTGGCTGCTCCGGTTTCCCTCACAGTCCTAAGACATGCAGTACTGGTGAATTGGGTAGGCTAAATTGTCCGTTGTGTGTGTGTGTGTGTGGATGTTTCCCAGAGATGGGTTGCGACTGGAAGGGCATCCGCTGCGTAAAAATGTGCTGAATAAGTTGGCGGTTCATTCCGCAGTGGCGACCCCGGATTAATAAAGTGACTAAGCCGACAAGAAAATTAATGAATTAATGAGATTTAAGCATTTCTTTAGTTGTTCAAGTGTAAAATGAGATGAAAGCACTCCATTGAAATACTGGGATAAAATAAACTGTTATATTTTAAAGAAATAGAGAGGGAAAATTGAATTTAATGCAGTGCTTCATGTCCGGTCTGAGACTCACTTCATATCGTATATCTAACAAGTTGAAAAGATTACTGGTTTTTAAAGAAATCAGACCCTAAATGTGGCAATTTTATAATTGGCCGTAATTAAAAGTCTGTGTGCATATAGCCTATTGCTAGCTATAATGTACTGTACTGTTGGTTTAGATTATGTTTTTTGGATGGCTGATATGAAATTAGGAAACACTGATAAAAATGAATTACATTTTATAAAAATCCTTTTTATGTTAAGATATTACTTAGAAAAAAAGCCTATGAAGATGTAAACTTTTTGGTGTAATTTTGCTTTTTAAAAGTCTTGCTAAAAATGATAAACAATAGCAAGGGAGTTGACCTTACTGTTTTTTGCATAAATACTGGTGCTGGGCAAACTTTAAACATGATTAATTGCATCTGAAAGGAAAGTTTGTTTTGACATAATATACAGTTTGAAGTCAGAATTATTAGCCCCCTGAATTATTAGCCCTCGTTTATTTTTTTCCCAAATTTCTGTTTAACGGAGAAAAGATTTTCTCAACACATTTCTAAACATCATAGTTTAAATAACTCATTTCTAATAACTGATTAAATAATAAATAATAACAAAAAAATATCTGAAAGGGGCTAAAAATTTTGACCTTAAAATGGTTTTAAAAAATGTAAAACTGCTTTTATTTCAGCTTAAATAAAACAAATAAGACTTTCTCAAGAAAAAAATAATATATTATCAGATATACTGTAAAAATTGCTCCGTTAAACATCATTTGGGAAATATAAAAAATTAAAAAAATCAAAGGGGGAGGGGGCTAATAATTCTAACCTCATGTGTGTATTATATATGTTAATTATGCATATGTTGTCGGTGCCAATAGCCTAGTGGTTAAATGCGCTGACATATAGCACTGTGGTGCTCACGGCGACCCAAGTTCGATTTCTGGCTCGAAATCTCTTCCCCTCTCTCTGCTCCCAATACTTTCCTGTCTGTAACCCTGACTGTACTATCCCGAATAAAGGTAAACAAACTCTGAAAGATTATAATTTAAAAAAATGCATATATCATACACACACATACATAGAAACAAAACATATTTTATTTTTTAATGCATGTGTGTATATACATAATAAATATACACATTACACACACACACATACTGTCAAAACAAACTTTTATTTTGCATGTGACTGATTACGATTTTTTTTTCCAGCCCTAATAAATACAATTACATTTTTTATGTTTTAAAAAAAACTTTTGATTGAATGTGTTTTTAATTTAAATATGTCACAAATGTATTTCCTTTATAGTAATCCTATTTCTGATTATTTCACCAATGACCCTCATATTTCAGTCAAACCTCACCAGAATTCAGAAGTGGAGCCTTTTTTTTTTTTTTTTTTTTTTTTTTTACTGCTCTCAGTTCACTAGTTTGCTGCATTCCAAGTTTCAAATCACAGTATTCACACTTATTTAAATGAATCTGACTAGAAGTTTTAATCAAACCAAGCTTGAACACACAATAATATTCCAGAGAAGTTCAAGGTAATGCATTCTAGGAAACAACGTCTCTCTCTAAAAGCCTTATAAACCTTCAGATGAAACATTTTGCACAGCCAAGTTTGTTTTCAAAAGCATTTTGCTATTGTAGATACATTTCAATACTCCCGTACTTCAAACTACAATACTGCATCTTGTTCACCACCTCACTTCAATTGTGAATGGCGCGCAACCCTGTTTGTTGTTTCAAGCTGTTGACAGAATCCATTACATGGCTTTTTGTTTATGAATTAATAGTTATGCTAATAGGATTCTTTTTAGCTGTTGTACTTTATAAATTTGAGTTCTGTCTGTTCTTATACGTCTTTGTCTTTGAGTTCATTGTTCCTGATATAACCTGTCAGGAACCATCAAAAAAAAAGGGCTACAGGCTTAATACCTTTGCACAGCATCTCACTTCTCTCTTCATAATAATTCACAAGGATCCTGGGGAGCACCTGAAAACATATAAAGCACTACAGCCATACACAATCCACCCGAGAGCCCCAGACTGGGCCGAGCGAACGTGTCATGTCCCCCTGCCTCTCTTTTACAAGCCAACAGTGGAGGTCAGAGAATACAGTGTAAGCCGGGGAAAACACAAGCTCATAAGTGAATAAATGAGTCTGATGAGTGAAATAAAAGAAAATTGCAGACCCGAACGCACGCACCACTCTGGAGGGGCTTCCAGAAGCAGCTGCTCGGATTTGCTGGTCTGCCTTCATTGCTGTAAATTTTTTTCCCACAAGATCTGAGACCTGAGGATTTTCAGCATGTAGAGAGAAAGAGAGAGGGCAAACAAAGAACTGGGCTATTTTAGGACTGCTTTTAGAAAGCAAACTGCGCTGCTACCCTGGCTTCACCGAGTCTTTTTTTTATTTTTTTTTGGAGACTGACTTGACTGCAAAAAAAAAAAAAAAAGTCGGTTTTTGGACACGGCCGGTAAACAAACCTGCTCGGGGGGGCCGTTGGTTGGCCGGCACCTGCCACTATTACTGGAGAGCAGGTGCAACTGTGTTCATTAAGATACACATCAGGACACAGAAGTCCTTAAGAGGCGGTTGGGGGCACATTTCGCGAGGCTGCCTTGCAAACACAACATAGCAACAAGGTGAGCGAAGTAATTTCAGCTTGAATAATGGGGGGCGTCTCGTGAGCCTGACAGACGTGTGCGGTGAAGGCAATTTCACAGCACCTCTCCGCCGCTGTTCGTGTGATCTATTGGAGGTGTTCTCCAACACCGCGGTCAATATGACAGACGCTGGTGGTTCGGGCCTGATAAGGTAGTCTGAAAGAACGCGGCACGTGCGTCTGTCAAGCATGGCTCCCTAAGAGACAACGGGCATTCAGAAAGGTCAGAAAAATAGACGACATCAACTTAGCGCAGCAGATGTTTTCGGAAAAGTGCAGCACAGCTACTGTGCGTGTCATTTTAAAAGCATTTGCTTTAAATTCTCTTCTATTAGCTGATATGACAGGCCTCTAATCCCACAGGATCCAGTAGAACAATAATTAGGACATGGTAAACACGAAGGCAGCATTGGACAACACAGTTAGAGATGAACACACACACACACACACACACTCACACACGCCCAACGTAAAGACATAGCGGAGTGAATGATGGCTAACGCTTTATCTTCCCTGGGCTTCTGTAACAACATATGTTTGTAAGTAATTAAAAGAAGTTCCCAAGCGGTTACCGTGTCATATTGAAATACAATATGGTGAGCAAATTACCTTTCCACAGCAGTTTATGCAAAGCTAGACACAGGAGACCGCTTTGCTTCTCCCTGCTGCCACATGGAGGGATTGGCAAAGACAATCTCCTGCTCTATTGATGTATTGACTTCTAATTAGTTTGTCAGGCGCTGTACCTTTTAAGATCACAGGAATAATTGATGATGTCTTACCTAGCCAAACAAGGAAAGCCAGAAACATTTAATATTTGGTCAAGTCTAAATAACAGTAGGCGGGGCTTATGAAATATGCAGTGTTGGTTTGAAATATTCATATATACGCTGCAAATTTGTGATGCCCGGAGCTGCAATAGTTGCACATTCAGGTTTCATTGTTGATGTCAGCACTTGAGACACACTGAGTGTGTGTGTGTGTATGTCTTTTGCTTGGCTAATATTTCCCCCTGACTGCTGTTGAGAAGAGACCCCCTAACAGTCAGGACCATCATTGTGTTTTAAAGCACCATTATCCTGCTCGTTGCTGGATATCAGCGGCTGCTCGGGCCTTAAGTAAGCCGAGCGCAGCAGTTCGAGAGTGTGAGCACTCGCTCTCCATCTCCACAGCCCAAACTTCCAGTGTCATTAAGCCCATTACATGCCCTGTGAGAATCTGCAGCTCAAACTGATGAGTCCTCAAGCAGGAGCGTGAAATATCTGATGCAGAAATTAGACTGGAGCTTCAGCAAATGCGTTCAAAGAATTGGCTGTTAAATGAGTTGCATCCTCTGGGAGATTGTATGCATAGCGTCGTACACCCAAGCATAAGGTTTGCCTGTCTGTTGACACTCGCCTATTGGCAATTACTTACACGCTGTCCATTTCTGGGTATCAACAAGAATTGAGGAGCTATAATGAATAATATCTGTGTTTTGCAGTTCCGATTATTGTAGCAATCTTATTATGAAATGCACACTATGTATTTATCTGTTCATTCTGGCGTTTTCTCAGCTCTGTGATGTTATTGTTTATGCCAAGGAAATCAAGATTGGATTCAGTCAGTTCCAAGAATACTAAACAGCTTGTGCAGATGTTTCTGTGTCTTTCATTTCCATCCCACGATTGTTATTCTAATCATTTGCTAATTAATCCACAGCCATGCACTGTTCTCTTGGTCCCCAAAATGGATTTGGATTTCTCTTACCTTCCCGAGGTTTGGGCTCCATATATATCTGAGACTGAAGATGCAGAGGGCCAGAATCAGGAACACCACACTCAGAATGATGGCGGCACACTGGTAAGTGCGATACCTGGCCTTTCTGTCCTTCTCCTTCCCCAGCTCAACCTACAGAAACATTAACATTATTGTACATATTTATATATATATATATATATATATATATATATATATATATATATATATATATATATATATATGGTGTGATTTCCGACGTTGAACGTATTGCAGCACAATGCTCAACTGACGAAGAAATAATCACACGGGCAATTTGAATTCTTCTGAGATCAGAACAAAAGGTCACATTTATTAAAATTGTCCCAAATTAAAAGTTCGTCTGTTCGATTAAATTCCCGGAGCTTACGGCCGCAAATTAATAAAGGGAGGCTTTTGTTCCACCCGAGTTCCAGCAGGGAGAGTCTAAAAGCTTACTATTCACAGTGGTGTGCTCTGCTATCTCTCAGGACTTGGCCAATCACAAACGTGAAATATGGAGGAACAAGCTTCAATTAGCAAATGTCTCTAGCCGAAACAGAAGCTTAAAGAACAGAAATAGCAGTGGTGACCAGGGATGATTCTGAGTTCAGTGGGTAATCAGAACCTTTAGTCCAGACCTCTGTCAATGCTTTGATGAAATATTGACTTATGTGCTTCATAACTGGGGTGCATCATTCTGATTTTAATAAACAGTACTATAGGTGATTCTGATACACATATCAATATTTACTTATTTGCATTTACCTACTGTTTTGATGTTTAATTCATTTATTTTCTTTCGGCTTAGTCTCTTTATTAATCCGGGGTCGCCACAGCGGAATGAACCGCCAACTTATCCAGCATGTGTTTTACGCAGCGGATGCCCTTCCAGCCGCAACCCATCTCTGGAAAACACTTTTGATGTTATAAATTGGCTAAATTCTAAATAATTTAAAGCATGATGGCTAGTTTCTTTCTGTATCCTGATACAGTTTTATTTGGCAAGTATTACATGTTATTATTATGATGTTAGATTTATAAGTCAGGGCCATGCAGCTAATCTGTTTATTTGAAGAGTCTGGAAGCAAACATGCAAGTGCCTTCTGAAATATTCTTCTAAAATGTGACTTTTTTAAGGCTCATGTATGTATGTTCAGTAATTTCACCATTCATTCATTTTCTTTTCGCATTAGTCCTTTTATTTATCAGGGGTCGCCACAGCGGAATGAACCGACAAATTATCCAGCATATGTTTTTACGCAGCGGATGTCCTTCTAGCCGCAACCCAACACCGGGAAACACCCATACACTCCTGCATTTACACACATACACTACAGCCAATTAAATTTATTCAATTCACCTATAGTACATGTCTTTGGACTGTGGGGGAAACCGGAGCACCCGGAGGAAACCCACACAAACAGCCGAGGCTTGAGCCAGAAACCTTCTTGCTTTGAGGTGATCCCACTTTGCCACTGTGATGCCCCTAATTTCAGTATTATGGAATAGAATAGGTTATTTTTGATTGCCTTTAAAGTCAAAGTAAATGGGTAAAGTAAAGGGTGTGTACATGAGACAGAATTGTCATTTTTGGGTGAACTATTGCTTTAATAAGATAATCAGTTTGAATGTTAGCTCATGGTAGTTATTGACACTTTGTTCAGAAAGCATGCATTTGCATATTTGTGTTACTTCAGCAACTTTACAAGCTAGCAGGCTATTAGTATTAACATTTCTGATATATGCAAAAATAGTTTTTGTATCATTAGCCTACAGTAAGTTTGGGAGGTTTGTTGCATTATTCTTTAATAAAATAGTTTGTCGCTGCAAATGCCCAGGCAATTTCCCCCAAAATCCCTTAAGCACTGCAATACTCTTCTTTGTTTTCAGAGTTATGTCTCTGAAATATTCTCTTTTTTTGCCAAGATATCTGCATAGACCAAAGTCAACGCAGTTTCCTCTGATTACTTTGGTGTTTTCTGTAGAGCGGAAAGCAGCGTCATCATTTCTTTTGCTTTGTGACAGAATAAATAACAAAATGCGGCAGACTTTATGCAAAATAGTCAAAATGTGGCTTGTGAGACAACGTCTGATTTATAGTGCAGCCTGCAGCTCTGAATAATTTTATTTATGACAAAAAAGTGACAAGGTGATAAAAAACATACAGGGCTTAAGTCCCAAAAGCCCACCCTAATGCCGCCATTGGTGGCGATTCCTGCAATCATACTTTATCTCACAGTGTGAGACACGAATCAGACAATGTCATTGGGGATATTTGGAAACCATTTCAAAAACTATAATAAATGCAAGCAGCATGTCTACTTTAATCTTTCATATAACTTTAGTGACAATGACATGTCAAAATATGGCTGATAGATATATTTATAAACTTCTCACTGTCTTATTTTTATATGTATAGTTCTGTAAAAACAACATTTAGCTTTATTCTGTAACCTAATTTTGTTTTATTCAGACATGTTTATGTTTTTTTTTAGCAACATAAAACTAATATGTTCACTTCAGAAGTAAAATGGTTGAACATTCTTGATTTTCAAATCACAACAAATGATGAATTCGTTCGTTCATTCATTCATTCATTCATTCATTCATTCATTCATTTTTCTTCAGCTTAGTCACTTTATTAATCTAGGGTCGCCACAGCAGAATGAACCACCCACTTATCCAGCATATATTTTTGCAGCAGATGCCCTTCCAGTTGCCACCTAGTACTGGAAAACACCCATATACACTCATTCACACACATACACTAATGCCAATTTAGTTTATTCAATTCACCTATACTGCATGTCTTTGGACTATGGGGGAACCCGGAGCACCGGTGTGTGTGAATGAGTATGTATTCTGCCGTGGTGACCCCAGAGTAATAAAGGGACTAAGCCAAAAAGAGAACAAACAAACAAACTATCTATCTATCTATCTATCTATCTATCTATCTATCTATCTATCTATCTATCTATCTATCTATCTATCTATCTATCTATCTATCTATCTATCTATCTATCTATCTATCTATCTATCTATCTATCTATCTATCTATCTATCTATCTATCTATCTATCTATCTATCTATCTATCTATCTATCTATCTATCTATCTATCTATCTATCTATCTATCTATCTATCTATCTATCTATCTATCTATCTATCTATCTATCTATCTATCTATCTAACAAAATAAACAGATAACAAAAATAAACAGATATCTAACTAAATAAATACATAAACAAACAGATAACTAACTAAATAAATTATCAAACTAATAAATAAACAAACAGATAACTAGCTAACTAACTAACTAACTAACTAACTAACTAACTAACCAACTAAATAAATAAATTAGCAGATAACTAACTAACTAAAAAAAAAAATTCTTATTGGCAAATTTTTTCTTTGAAATTCAACAAAATAAATGATATTAAGCTTTTTTAAAAATATACAATCATCAGCAATCCATCTCAATAAAACTTTTAATAAAATTGTGTGTCAACTGTATTTACCTACAGTATATGGTTTAATTATCTTTTTTACAATAACATTTGCTTTAAATAGTTATTTTTTATGTTTTAACTGGGCCATTTAGTAAAATTCCTTACCGTTTAGCTCTGTGTCTGAAATTTTATTCATAATGGTTTTAAAAAGCCTTAACGGGCACCTATTTTACCTCTTTTACAAAATGTAAGATTAGACTTTGGTGTCACCATAGATTATTTATTATAGCCTCCAGACTCTGCCCATTTTGGTGTCTGAGTTCAGTTTAGATGTTTTTTTAGCCTGTGGCTTTAAATCTAAATGAGCTGTTTCTCCCCGCCCACTGCTTTGACGCTTTTGTCTGCATTTCATGCATTATATCAGATAAACAGCAGTCAGTGATTAGAGATAGACATGGATGAAGATGAAATAACGTCACAAGTCAAAAATAGCAAGTAAGTTTATTTGATGTATTTTTGGTGTAGTCTGTTCAAGCCTTTCTGAAACAATGAGTCATACAAATGCCCTTTGGAGTACACATGCTGCTGTTGTGTGGGTTAAATATTACAGTGATTTTTGCTCTATTTATTACAAACATGCACTGTTTTACAGTTTTTCTCAGTCGCTTTGATGCATTTCTCACAACACTGTTTACATTTGCACAACAGTTAATGCATTTCTCAAAACAATTAGTCATTTGTGCACATCCTATAGTAGCTGTTTCTCATTCATTCCAACAAACTGCAGATGCTTTTGGAGATGCATCAATTGTTTTCATACAACTCTCTGCTATTTATAAGATTATCATTTGCTTATGTCACGTCAGTCAAAATGAACTAAACTTGTAAATGCTGAATAGTCATTGTATATAAAACTAATAGTCATTACTAAAATTCATTACTTGAGTCATTGCATACAAAAATGTTGAACTAGTTGTCAAAATCTGTCTAGCAAATTTTATATATATATATATATATATATATATGTGTGTGTGTGTGTATATAAATTAAATCTTTATCTTACTGAAAATGTCTTCTAAATTGATCAATTTCATGAATGATTTACGGACCTGTGTTTTGGGTTCAGTTCCAATATGTACTGCAATATAGTTTACAGTTGTGCCCAGCTTTACCCAAAGGAAGCTTATGCTTGTTGTAAATAATGGTGTATTTATTCTTTTGCACAATGCTGTGAATAAATTAGAATTGCAACGAGGATCTGCAGTAAAAATGTGAAACATACGTATTCAGTGTCTTGTACTCAGATACCTCACTTAATGCATTGATGTCTAACTTTACTGTGGTTTTCAAATGCCTGTGCAAATAGTATACAGTGCTGTCTTGAGCATTTTCAGGAAGTGTCACCAACATCTGACTATTTTGCATTAAAAAATGTCCAGAGTAAACTGTCATAATGAAAACACGACAAAGCCATTTGACTATCTTGTCCATAAACAGTGGTGTCAGGACTTTTCATTTTGATGACACTGACACTTTGATTGACATGAATACTTGCTTTTGAGGAATGAACTATCCCTTTTGAGCATGTGATGCGCTTTTGCAGATTATCAGCTAGGTTTTGCAGTTTGTACTAATTGTTTTGAGAAATGCAGTAACTGTTGTGCAGAAATATACTGGTGTTGTGAGAAACACACCAAAGCGACAGAGAAACACTAAAACATTTTAAACTTATATAATTAATTGTTGAGGTGCAGCTGATCACAGAGCCTATGTTTAATCCTAGTTTCTTTGCATAAAATGTTCTGTGAACGTGTATATATGTTATTATGGAGAAATTGCGCCTGTCAATCAATTTGGTGGACGGGGAAAGCCGTATTAAACACATTAAACAGTTATTAAACATTTTCCAATGCAATGCATATAGAGCCGTCACACTGCCTCTCTAAACAGAAATACTTGAAAAGCATGCTGAAATGCAGCGAATAAGACAGTTTCACATTGAGTTTGTCATGAAAACCCTGTTAAAAACATCAAGGCATAAGCCTTCACTCGCTACGCATGACGGAAAACAGGAGGACAAACAATTAGAGGAGCCTGAAATTCCTCTAAAGTCGAATTTCCCCTCGTGTGAATCAAAAAACGTGAATAGAGATAGAGCTGAAAAATCCAGAGGTTGCATAAGCAGTGGAAACTTGACTGGAGGACAACGTTCCATCTGCTCGGAATATAAATGGCTCTGAAAATATAGCGACGGCTGCCAGCAAAACAGTATTAAACCGGTTTAAGGTTAAGAATCAGCGAGGCAATTCTGCTGGTAGCGGGATTGAGTCTGAGTCTATGGTGATGAAGAGAGCCGAGAGCCCCCTGCTGATGACAGACGCAGACAGAGAAAAAGAGAGACTGCGATGGAGAGATGAGAAAGCAGAGAAGTTGAAATAAAGGTGGGGAGAAGGAGAACGCCAAGAAGAAAAGAGAGACGGTGGTTGTCCTGAGACAATCTGAAAGCATAAAACGGGTAGAAACTCCCTCTAATGTCTGTTATTTCGCACCATTGATGGCGATGGAGATCTTTATTCTTTAAAGAAACTGCACGTTGTTCTGCAATTGCTCCAATCTATATTTATCATCACCAGCTCTTTGCTGTTTCAAAAGAGGGATATTAATAACTGTGTGTTGTTGCATTATATTTTTGAAAAGAAATCCTCCCACTTGATTTTCAGTTTTGCAGACGTATGATTGCGTGTACAATGCAGAGAAAATGATCTTGATTACTTAATTGTAAATCATGCGGAATAATTGGCACAGTAGTAAACGTCTCGCCATACAGCCGCGCAGCGCACTGCTCAGCTGGAGAAAAGGCACAGAGTGCAAGAAAAAAAAAAAAAAACATGGAAAGATGTAAACACTCCAAGAGCCTTGCAGACAGAAATAGTTTTACCCCACCTGACATTCACATATCACAACCTTTAAAAAGAGCAGTTTAACACACATGCACACACACACAATTTCCTTTCACCAATGGATCTTTATTGAGTTTCATAATAAAGATATAATTAGTATATTTAAACTATATATTTATTATTCATAAAGTATATAATTATTATAATCATTCATTCATTTTTTTTAGGCTTAGTCCCTTTATTAATTTGGTGTCGCCACAGCGGAGTGAACCCTCAACTAATCAAGCATATGTTTTACGCAGTGGATGCCCTTCCAGCTGCAACCCATCACCGGGAAACACCATGCACATATATTACGGACAGTTTAGCTTACTCAATTCACCTATACCACTTTTTTTTGGAATTGTGGGGAAAACCCACTCGAACACAGGGAGAACATGCAAACTCCAAGCAGAAATGCAAACTGTACCAGCTGGGGCTCGAACCAGTGACCTTCTTGCTGTGAGGCGATTGTGCTACCCAGGCGTTTTGCACTATATACTGTTTTGCATCTGCACAACAGGTGCTCTTAAGTGTCATTTTATTGTTTAAAAAAATATTTTTACTTATATTTTTAGATTATATTATATGTGTAATTGTATTTATTTTAATTTCTTTTTAAAATTCTAATTTTTGAATTAATATTATATGTTAGGCACCTAGGGTCTGAGAGTGACTCAAATTCAATTCTCTGTATGTCCTGTACATGTGGTTGAATTGACAATAAAGTTGACTTTAACTTTGACTTTAAAAAATCGATTTATTTTTATAAAGGTTTTTGAAATAAGTCTTCGATGCTCAGCATGACTGCACATTCTTTGCTAACACTTTATTTTGATGGTCCATTTGAGTATTAGTAGACTGTCTGCTTAATATCTGTTGATATGCTCCTGACAATAAGAAACTTTGCAAGTACACGTCAACTCACGCTAACCCTAATCCTAACCTCAGCCTAACAGTCTACTTACAATCTAACAAGAATTGGTTGGCATGTAGATGTAACTTAAATTCAACAAATGGACCATCAAAATAAAGTGTAAGTAAGTAAACCCTTTCTTTGAGTACAAATACAATTAAAAGAGTATTACAGTGAAATTCAAAATCCAACTCAACAAAATATACTGTAATAAAATAATTTAGCAATTTCTTAATTGATGAATTGAACATTTAAATGTACTGCATTTATTCAAAATAATCTCTTTTGTAACAAACAGTTGGATTGTTGGAGAATAGTGTTGTATGGATGATAATATATACAGTTGAAGTCAGAATTATTTTATTTATTAATTATTTTAATTATTATATATATTTTTTTCTTTTTTTAATATTTCCCAAACAGAGCAAGGAAATTTTCACAGTAAGCTGATAATATTTTATTATATAATATATATTATATAATAATTATATAATTTTTCTTCTGGAGAAAGTTGTATTTGTTTCATTTCAGCTAGAATAAAAGCAGTTATTAGTTTTACTATTTTAAGGTCAAAATCATTAGCCCCTTTAATCTATATATATATATATATATATATATATATATATATATATATATTTTTTTTTTAATAGTCTACAGAACAAACCATCTTTATACAATAACTTGCTTAATTACCCTAACCTGCCTAGTTAACCAAATAAACCTAGTTAAACCTTTAAATGTCACTTTAAGCTGTATAATATATCTATAAAAATAGAAAAATATCTAGTAAAATATTATTTGTATAATTTATATTTTTATTATTTATATTATAATCAGTCATTAAAAATTAGTTATTAAAAGTATTATGTTTAGAAATGTGTTGAAAAAATCAAGAAAACAGAAATTATGGAAAAAATAAACAGGGAGGCTGATAACTCAGAGGGGCTAACAACTCTGACTTCAACTGCATAATGGTTTGCACAAAAAGCACTTCTGTTTAAAACATTGATGTTATTTGTATGCAGTTTATATTAATACGAAGATAAAATGATTTATGAAGGATCATGTGACACAGAAGACTAGAATAATGATGCTTTAAATTCTGATTTGCATCACATGCATGAAATACAATTCAAAATATATTCACACAGAAAACATATTTTAATTAAAAATCTTATTAAAAATAATATTTATCAATACTTTGCATTCCATAATCCATATAGTTCTCAATCTAATGCATTCCATTAGATATTTACAGCTTTGGTGAGAGGTAAGATTTCTTTAAAAAGAAAAAAACAAACAAACATAGAAAACACCTTAATGTCTCCAAATTTTTGACTGGTAGTGGTAAAAGTAACACTCACATCTTTGCAAAGAACTTGTTGACTGTTGAAGTAAGAGTTACTCTCCATTACTGTAGCCAGACTGAAGACAACCTTCTCTGAAAACCTTCTTCCACCCAGAAGTTCCTCTCACTGGGATCCAGAAAGCCAAACGTTCATTCCGTTGGTAATTTGGGAGTCTTTTCAAGAGGGAGGGTTTCTTTTTCAGATGGGATGGAAAAAAAAACTTTAACTACTGTGGTTAGTCAAAGCAGATGTCCTGAGATTCATCTGTGAATGGAGATTGTGTTGAAGAAACCATTACTGATCCCTCAGGTTATTTTCTTCTTTCATACTGCCACACCATTTAGACAGTGTTTTTTCTTATACATGCGTGGCCACCAAAACTCGGTATGCAACACAGTCACATCTGGGAATGCCTAATAGGGTTTCAGGTTTACAAAGGGGAGAAAAAATATCTAATTAAAGGGACAGTTGATCCAAAAATAAAACCGTCATTAATGTGTTCAGGAGCATTGGCTGAGGCTGTGGATTAAAGGTAATAATGTTTTAAATAATGCTTATTTTCTTGCACAGAGTGGTCGTTTTTCTTAATAAAACCTCAATGTGTATTGTCTTAAGCCACAGGTTTAATTTTGTTTTGCCTGTATGTGTTTGACTCTCGGAGGGATGCTAACTATTGATTTGAATTTTCTGAATCACCAAGGACCATGGTTTCAGCTTAATAAAAATAATAAAAATATTCAATGTTCTACTCCGTGATGTAGCTTCTGGTCATGCTGGTTACGCACCCGCAATTGAGCCCAGACTGATTGGGGGTCTGCCCACCGGAACGAGGAAATTATTATTATTTTTATTTTGTGGCTACAATGAACATTTTTTGTTTGCATGTCAAGAGCCGTAATTTGTTGTTCCTCTTATTTTTTTTTTTTTACTTTGCAGTTTTTTGTGTGTGCATTTGTTATTTTTTGCACCCTGTGGCTGCTGTAGAACGTGCTGATGAAGCTGCATACAGTAAAAAAGCTGCTTTGCTACACCAAATAAAAATAAAGAAATAAAATAAAGAAAACACTGTGTAATGAGCGATTAGTGGCTAGCTAATAGCATTAAACATTATACAAATATAAACTTAATAGCAACCCAGCAAGCATTTGTTGTTTTTTAAAGATGTCTAGTAGATGTCTAATAGACGTCAATCGTCTTGACTAAAAAAAGGCTAAATGTGGGCTGTTAGTGAAAATCAAGTAGACGCCTAAAAATAGGCCAAAACTAGACTACAGTAATCAAATAAACAGAAATGAATGATTATACATAAAAAGTCTGTCTAATATGTTTATTTGAAGACTAGTCTAGTTTTAGGTTTTTCTTACATGTCTATTAGGTTTTTACTGACAGATTTTGGCGTTGCTTTTGCCAAGCCATTTAGGTTTAAATGTTTATTAGTATTTTAAAGAAGTCTAATAGATGTCTAGTAGACATCTAAACATAAACGGCTTTGTTAAAACAAGGCTAAATTTAAGCTGTCAGTGAACAAATAATAGACATAAAAAAGCCCAAGATTATACAAAAAAAAAATGAAAGACTACATATGTGAAGACTGTCTACTCTGATTTTGATAAATAGTTTAGGTTTGGTCTATTTTTAGATTTCTATTAGATTTTAACTAACAGCCCAAATTTAGCCTTGCTGTAGTCAAGCCATCTAGGTTTAGATGTCTACCTGGTCCATAGTACAGTTACTAACTCCAACACCACAAACATAACCCCTCTACCCCTCTAGGTGTAACTGTACTACTCAGACAACCCTCTTCTAAGAATAGGCCAAAACTAGTCATCAAACAAAACAGAAATAAATTACTACACATATATAGTCTGTCTAATTTGTCTATTTGACAACTTGTCTAGTTTTGGGCTATTAGATTTTCACTGACAGCCCAAATTTAGCCTCGTTTTAGCCAAGCTTTCTACGTTTAGATGTTTATTAGACGTCTATTAAACAAACAAACAAAAAAATGTTTGCTGTGAGGGCCTTAAAGAGGAAAGAGAGGATTGAAAAGTTATACACAGCAGAAAAATATACCTAGAATTTTTTTTTGTCGAATGACACGTCAAAGATGAGACAGGATTATGTCATACCTGCCAAGACTACTGTTTTTTTCCTGGGGGTTTCATGTTTTTCAGACCCATCTATTGCCACCCTCCCATTTTGTTTTGTCTCCGGGAAAACTCTGGTAATTCCCCCTGGTCCTTAACTCTTTGGTAAGGTTTGTCTTCAGTACACCCCCCGGTTGCCAACGATTGCCGTGGTCGCCCGAAACCAGGTTCATAGTACAGTTACTAACACCACAAATATAACCAAACCCCCCCACCTGCCTCCATCACCCACCCATATTCCCCACGACCTGGAATTTTAGAGACAAAGGTTCGCAGGTATGGATTATGTCGCAAAACAAACTATAAGGACTCAGGCTTAAGTTGTGTTTGGTTGCACATTTCAAATCTGATATATGTTTCTGTGGTACATTTTGTTATCTTTCAGGGGTGCGTGTGGGTCTACAGCACGGACAATACAACTGACCTCTAAACGAGCTGAGAGAGGATCATGTGAGCTCTACTGGTGCTCCTACTGGCTGTCGCTCAAAAAAGTCGCTCTTCATTTGCATAAAGTTGAAGGATTCTCAAATTTGTCACATTGCTAGATACATTCACCTGGTCGCCAACGGTCGCTGTCGCTCGCTTAGATGGAGGTTGCCTGAAGTCGCTCACTCTCCGTTGAAATGAACGGTCGCTTGTCGCTTTTGCCGCTGCGAGTTGCTCATAGTGTAAATGAGGCTTTACTCCCTATCCCCTGTACGATTTATCAGAATTTCAGAGACAAATTTTGGCAGGTATGGATTATGTCACAGAACAGACTATAAGGACTGGCTATTTTTCCATCCCAGGATTAAGTTGCCCCAAGTGTGTTTGATTGCATGTTCTATGTGACAAATCCACTAGAGGGCGCTGCAAACATTTTTGTAAATAGATAAATGTTACTTGGGGGTACATTTTGTTATCTTTCAGCATGAAAAGGGAAAAAATGTTGGGATGCTGCTGCTGCTGCTGCTGCTGCTGCTGCTTAGCGTTCATTTGAACTAGAATCTGCAGTCATGTCGAAGTACATAAAGTATTTGCAGTTTCACAAAAGTGTAGGCTGAAGCATGTATTTCTAATGAGCCTGTGTTGTTGTTTTTTCCATTCAGAGTGCATAAAGCTATGTATTGAACACCAGGGATATTGTGAAGGAAATTGGGCCATTTTTTGTTTTAGACCTTTGTTTTAGTTGTGAAAAAGTTGTGGGTTAGTGTTTTTGATTGTATTGGTATGAGCCTTTTTTAAGCTTTTGTGCGCTTATTTCTGAAAGTGTACTATACCTTTAAGCTCAACTTGCTATTCATTTCAAGAAACACTTTTCAAGCCCACATTTGCAACTTGAAACCATATTTAATAATTAATTCTACAACAGAGTACATATTGAATGTAAGTCCAATTATAAAAAGCGTAACATTTTATTCACGATCTGACTGTTAGCTCACAAAATTGGTGTGAAAAAGCTTTACACAATTTCTCAGAATGAGAGTTTTTTTTTCCCCTTTTTTCATTAAGCTGCAGCTTTGAGTCTTCTGGAAAATGGATAAAAGCTGTGATGTTTATAATCTATCATTTCAGATGAGTAAAGGCAACCTAAATCATTTGAAGAGAGCATAAAAATGACCACTTGCCTTGACCAGGAGCAATACTCTCATTTCCTTGACGGAAATTCCAGACCTCATGATGAGAGCAGAGATTTGAGGTGATTGCATACCTTAAATTATTTTTTAAATCTGACCCAAGTCTGTTCAAGAAATGTGACCCTGGTTTGAGTTGTACTTATTTATTATGTTTGAAAATTGTACAAGGCCATCCTAATGAATGTGAAAGCCGATGAATGTGAAAACCCATGATGGAAATTACTGAAAGACTCTGTTAGATGTGATATCAATAAAATGGTTGCAAACTAGTGATGCAGCTGATATGTACTTACGTTTGTTTGTTTGTTTGTTTGTTTGTTTTTTGTTTGTTTTTTACAACCAGCTTGACTAAATCTTTACAAGTACACTGGCATTTTTATTTTGCATAACTCATCTGAAAATCTGTTTCAACAGAAGAGTGGAGCTCCTATTGAGAGCCTTTCCAACCCAGCAGCAGTCAGGACAGCAGAGGGAGGCTTTCTGAGCCATAAAAATAAAACATAAACAACACTTCAGAGCGCAGGGAGCACTGGAATGACATTGGAAGGCCAAAGAAAACAATGTGAAACGTTCAGCCAGTACAGAAAATGAAATCAAGGAGATTTCTATCAACAGCCGCTATATACAGTACAGTACAATAGGGTGACATGCCAATTATTTCTGATTATAAAGAACAAGTGTGACACGCTTTGCATTTCCTTTTTTCCCCCAGTGAGACTAATAAGCCATAACTGTGAACTTAACACTTACTTTTCGCCAAGACTTTCACCTTGGTGGGCATTAATGATATTTTCAGACTCATCAAGCTCAACATCACTACTTTCACTGTTGTTATGTGAAGCGCAGGCTTGTGTTGTTAATTAATGGGAACACAAAAACAACCATGGCGTTTCTGAGAAATCCGTCAGCTACTTGCCATCTGCAAATGCATGCTTCTTGATGCCAAGCATTATTGTGCTTCTCTAAAAGGAGTGAAGAAGGCTTACTTAACTCTATTAACACATTTAGTACTGTTTTTGCATTCCAGGTCTATTTGGAGCAGAATAATTGCTACACTCTTTAAAAATAAAAAGTATGAAAGAGAAATAATGCCAGAGCCATTTTGTAGCAAACATTTGTAAAAATAAATAAATAAATAATTGTAAAAATTAAAATTTTTCTTTGTGCAAAGAATTTTTTACAAAATTCTATAAATATTTTTATGAAGGTGGAATTTAAAGGTACTGTAAGTAAGTCTTTTTTATTTATTTATTTTTTTTTTATTTTATTTATAGAAGTTTTTGTAAAAACAACACCAAATAGTGTACATCATGTATATATGTTAGCAAACTCATCTCGGTGTTATTGGCTCATCTAAATCATAGAATTATCATAATAT